TCGTTAAAATTTTGTTGCTGTTTGTTTAGTATTTTTTTCGGCTACCAACCTGTCTCTTATACACAACCCAATACAAAAAACAGCAAATTTTCTTTTTATATAATATTTTAATTTTTTAGTTTTTCAATTTTTATTATTTTTTAATTTTATTAAATTTGCGTAACTTTCATTTACATTTTTGTTTGACATTATGCTCGTACAAAGCCTTTTTTAAAATATTAATAAACACCTATATTTTTTATAAACATAATATACATTTCTTTTAGAATTATTTTGAAAATGAATGACAATACACAGTCCCAACATATTTATGATCCAAATTTAATTGGCTTCAGAATATCGTTTAAAGCTGCAAAAGTGTTGTTTCCACATCAAAACTCATTGTTGACTCTTGCTTTATTGCCGCTTTTAGTGAGATGTGACTTCTTTTTGTTCCCAAAATCCAAATATCTGCAGTGTAGACCACATCACAAGCCAGTTCAGATCATAAAAATAATGGTTTCGGAAGGAGCTTCATCCTGATTGATACCTATAACGAGTAAATAAATATAAATAGATTACAAATTAACATAATACGCATGTTGCTATATGTAAAAGTATTTGTCAAAATATGAACGTAATTCAGTGTTTTACCTAGACAAATTTGACAAGATGGTAAAAACTTAAAAGTATCTCAGGTAATTTTTTTTTCTAAGGTTGGTACAACTGTTTTAATTATTTTGCCAAAAATTAGCGCGATCTGTCAACCAGTTTGTTTACAGCAGCCGTTTATGTTAAGACAACCTCAGTAGTGTTTGTCGAATTTTAATTAAATTTTGGCCAAAAACTCAACAAATATTATAGAGCAAGCACCGTATTCACCTGATTTAGCTCCGTGTGACTTCCGGCTATTCTTGTAACTTAAAGAACCGCTTCGGGGAAAGCGTTTTGAGTTAATTGAAGACATCAAAACAAATTCGATTATTGGTTTCAACAAAATAGACCTGGCATATCAGACAAAGAATGCAATTATTTATAGCGGCGGAAATTGAAATCCGGATAAGGAGCCAGGTAGCAGTTATGGCGAAAACGCGTCAAGTATGTGTAAGATTTGAGTGGAAAAGGATTATTTTTGTATGAATGAAAGAATTATGTGCAGTTTCGTTAGTTGTTCATTTGTTTTTTGGGACAACAGTTACAAAAATACCTACTGTGGATAAGAGCAAGATTTTAACTTTGCGAATTGAAAATTTTAGCATACGGAAGTTCAGAGAAAGAGTTGGTTCAAGCTCAAGAGTTTTGCCGTCGAGGATTTTTTGAAAAAATTTCAAAGCAGTGGGTCTCTGAGTGAAAACCCAGGCACAGGAGCACGCTCTTCTAGGGAGAGTCGGCAATAGAACGCATTAGCCTAAACGATCGATTCAAAATGGCTGACAGCATCAGAATGGAAATCATAGAAGACCTTGGAACCAAAATCACTGCCATAGTATACATTACTATACGAAATAGGCTCCGCGATGCTGGTTTGAACACGAACACTTTTGTGACTAAGCTCGATTGGCAGAAAGTAATCTTCTCTAACGAGTCCAAGTTCTTCATGTTATGTAGCGACGGAATGTCGTTCGTAAGGAGAAAAACTGGTGAACGCTATATCGACGAGTGCGTCTGAAGAACGATTATGCAGGGAAGCACTATTTTACTGAACATCTGATTTTCAAAATGTGAGACTATATATATAAATATATAAAAAAGTCTTGCGGTATTTTCGCTAGTTGGCGCTGAGAGCGCGTAGTTCTAGTTTTATCGTCGCATCGGGTCATGTTATACCTTTTTGGAAGGCTCATTTCATGCGCTAACACGTGTTTGATTGATTGTCGTTTCTTTTATGTCGTTCGTGAGTTATAGCGTGGCAAACATGGAGCAAAATAAAGAGAAAATACGGCATATTTTACAGCACTACTACGATAAAGGCAAAAATGCATCTCAAGCCGCCAATAAAATTTGTGCAATTTATGGACCCGATACAGTTTCCATTTCCACCGCACAACAATGGTTTCAACGTTTTCCTTCTGGTGTAGAGGTGGTCGAAGATGCGCCACGCTCTGGAAGGCCTGTCGTCGAAAATTGCGATAAAATCGCTGAATTGGTCGAAAGAGACCGGCATAGTAGCAGCCGTAGCATCGGTGAAGTTATAAAAATAAAAAAAATAAAAAATACCGCAAGACTTTTTTGCCCATTATATTATATATATTTATATTTGAATCTCCATAATTTCTTTCAATGACCAGCTCAGTTCGTGTTGGTTCCATCGCGTTACTCGAGTAATGGAAAATGCGCCAAAAATAGCAAATTCTTCTGTGCCCAATAATGGAGGTCACGTTCTTATTGTCGAATTCCAAAAAAAAAAAAAAAAAAAAAAAAAAAAAAAAAAAAAAAAAAAAAAAAAAAAAAAAAAAAAAAAAAAAAAATGGAAAAAAAATCTTTTTTCGTATTTTCAATAATTTTGAAAAAAAAAAAAATTGAAAAAAATTCTTTTTTCGTGTTTTCAATAAAAAATTTAAAAAATTCTCAACTCGTTCGATTTTTATTCCTTGAAGTTATATTAAGTTTGTCACAAAGTTTGTAATATCCAGTAGGAAAGGTTGGATACTATATAAAATATATATTATATATTCAAATGATCAATGTGGTCAATTTAAAATTTGCTTTTGTTTTCAAGAAGCTATTCATGTGTCGCACCACTATATCATATATCTAGAAAACTCTCTTATTTAACGAAACATCTTCACGAAATTCGACACGGCTTATTGTCTGAGACAATGATGCAATCATCAAAGATACTGTTCAGTTCGAATCACTATAGCACATAACTGTAATACAAACTGAAATGTCGAAATCAAGATTCCGTATGAAACACTTTGGTCACTCCGGGAGATATCTTCATGAAAATTGGCATGGATTCTTGCCCAAAGCGACGATGCAATCTCAGAAGAACTGCAACACAAACTGATAAATCGAATAAAGTTTTTGAATGTAATCATTTGCATTTGTGAAGGGTATAGACGTGCTTTTTTTTTTTTTTTTTGAAAATTATTCAATATTCACATATCGACTAAAAATGAGCAGCCTATATATGCTACAAATTACAAATAAATTCTCCCAAATGCAACACTAATCTACGAAAAGTGTTTGGTTGCATTATTTTTCAAGTTCCCCAGTGGTAATTAAGCGATTTCCATAACTTCCTGCTTTTGATTGGTGGCGCCACAAAGCTTGAGGGTTTACACACGCGCTTAAATGCCACTGCCGTCAAATAAAACTTAAACCTGTAACAAGAAAAGTTTCAAAATACGAAATGTGTTGTTGTTGCTATTGTGCACTCGAAGGCAGCTCGTCGTGGCGCCGGTTGTCATGCAGTTGCATCCGTTGTTGGTGCTGATGTTGGCGCTGACACCGATTATTGTGGCGACATTGAGCATTTAACAAAGTAAACATAAGCTCGATTAAAAAAAGAACAACAACAACAAAAAATGTTAAGCAAAATGGGAAATTATAATAAAAAGCTGAACAAAAATTTCATTTAATGGCGATGCTATGCACGTCACAGCCAGCATAGCAATCGCCGCCTTCAGCGCTTGCTTGTGTTGTTTCAACTTTGTTGTTGTTGCGGTTGTTTGCACTTCTTCTTGCTGTTTGCTATGGATGTTTTTCGTTAAAATTTTGTTGCTGTTTGTTTAGTATTTTTTTCGGCTACCAACTGATCGCTTACATTTAGTGAAAATTTGCATTGCCATTTGCATGTGTGTGTGTGTGTGTGTGTGTGTACATGACTGCAAATCAAATATTGATTGCATTGACCGTGGAGAATTGGTCATAATTTGCACTTAACATTCGTCCGAATTGATAAATTGACATTTCCAGTAAATCGTTGTTGATTTAATTGAAACGAACGATTGCTTGTCGAACATTAAGGCAAATATTTAAAAGTCTTCAATTAAGAAATTAAGTTGGGAAAAAATAAATACGCATACATATATACACATATAGACATACAGTTGCACGAGCTCAAGCACAAATGTGTGTATGTGTGCAGCAAAATAATATTTGGCAGATAATCAGAGCCAGTTGACGGCAAGAAAGCGGGAGATGGCCAAAATCATCGAACCACATGTTGAGTTGTTGCTGTAAATGTTAAATATATATTATACATGTACACATGTACGAGGGCTGTTCGATGAGAGTATGAGCTAACGAGAGATTATTTTAAATTCAAACACTTTCTTTTAAAGTTTTGAAAGACTTTAAGTTGAGTCATAGGCGTAGTAAGTGTGCTTAAGTTGGCATAACCTTTAGAGCTCTCAAAAAATGCCTAACTTCGATAATTTTTTTTTTTTTTTTTTTGTTTTTGTCATTAAGAAATAATGAGTTGAATTCTTCTTCTTCAGGATTTATTAAACAAGTACTTAAGCTTAAAATATTACATTTTGATACAAAATGGCGGCTACTGAGTCAAACTTCGCAGATATCATTTCAAGATAGGATTCCAAGAACTGGTGACAATAGCAACAAATTATAAAAACGGGATTTTATTCTATATATGGTCTTCTAGTGATGTAAGCTTCAGATACATATATGTATTTGTTGGCTTTGCAAAGAGATATTAAAATTTTTATCAAATGCAAAATGAGCAGTGAATTGTTTTTAAAATAAGTATTAAAATATTGACAAAAAAAAAATCACACAATTTACTAGATAACATGACAGCATAGTTATAGTCAAAAAATCAAGCGAATATGTGATGGATTAACACCACCGTCGATTTAAAAAAAAAATTACGCTATTTTGAGAAAAACGCGTTTGAAGTATTACGTTTCGCAGCTGACTATGATACGATAAACGCTTCGACAGAACAATAATATATATATATACAATGCTGTAACCCTTAAATTTTATTGGTTACTAAAAGATTGTGTGTGAAGTGCTTACTGCAAGAGTTTGTTTTCAAAAGCATATTTGAGAACGAACTTCAACATTTTTATGCTCTGATTTGAATATCAAAATTTGGTTCAATGCATTGTTCGGTAACACCTAGAAGAAGTTGTAGGGTGCTATGTTGCAATTAAACAAAAAAAAAAAAAAATAAATAAAAAATAAAATAAAATATAAATTTCAAATGTAGTGTAAATGAATTTAATTAAAAACTAAAAAATATAATTTTTTCATCGCATGTCAGTCTTTTACATTTCGCGCTCATTTCGTAAAGCTTTCAATTGATTTATCCACTTTTAATATTTTTGTTTAATAACATGTCATTAACTTATTTCTAAATGAAAAATTTCCATACCGTGAAAAGTTTCGCTTTAAAATGTAGTCAAATATACACAATACTTGAAAATTTTGAGTGGTAAGGTTTGCGTGGCCACGACTGTATGTGCTTGAATGGAAAACATTTTTATTTGGCGCGATGTCCACAGTAAATTTGACAAAGATTATTGTCGAGGGCAAATATTTTCCAATCGGACCACTGTAGCATATACTACTATGGGCAAA